ACTGCAATGAAGTAGTCAGAAACCGTACCTAACCTGTCAACTCCCTATAAACTCAAGCAACAGCTCCACCAGAGTCTTCCAGAGATCAAGATCCAATAATTTGTGTAAATTTGTTCATGTAGAGCAGTGGTGCCCAACCTTTTTTGTACCATGGCACCAAAATCACACACAGCATTCAGTTCGTAGGATTTCCCAAATTTTTTCTCGACACACTAGTGTACTGCGGCACACGGGTTAGCCATCACTGATGTAGAGCATCCCTAGTATTAAATGAGCCTTAAAAAACTCTCAACAACCATCCCATGTCACCCAGACATTCCAAACTCCAAGCACCTCATTACCATAAAAATTCCCGCAACACGAAAAAGCAAGAAAAAAAACTAACATTAGAGTCGCAGTGCCTATAATAAAATGTTTATAGCATCATCATTAAAGTCATTTCTTTACATCCGTGTATAATGCAAAATCATATATTCAATAATGAGATTTTATGTCTGTTTGATGTTTCACATTATTTTTTTTTTCATTCCCTGATATTCATCCCTGCTTAACATCTCATTTTATATCTATGTGCAAATTATTTTGTGTTAGAAGTACAGAAAGTTTAGTTATGAAACAAAATATAATAATATTGGATTACATGAAGCTTATGACATCATTAAAATTTTTCTGCAATGTGGGCAAAAAAAAAAAGGCAGGAAAAATTTGATACATTCGCCAAAGGCACAAAATGACTTCATAAAAGCCATAAATTTAAAGCCTCATATGAGAGTGAGACCTTTCGGACTATGACACCAATAAAATACTGACCCAATTTTCACTGATGTGATGAAAATTAAATTATCGATCTAATGTTAGTAACGACCGTAAAGTTATAATCCATAATGTTGCTATGGACATCGCTTATAGGTCAATTCCTATCTTAAAAAAGCCTGAATTATATTCAAGATTCTCATCTTTTTATGATGCTCTATGTATGCTCTGTGTACTGGTTGATGTAACGAAAACTAAACACTAATGTGTCTCTGTGGTAGCTTTTATAAGCTGTAAAAAAAAACTTGAAATTTGACACAAATAATTTATTAAGTTGGTTTTTAGTTCTTCTGACTTTTTGTGTGCTGTTTTTGATGATGATATGAAGTTGGTGTAGATTGCAGTTTGTCGGGTGGGAATTAAGAACTTAGGCTTTTGTAACTCATTGCTCGATTTCTGCGAAGAGCACTTATTCCTATCATAATGATGAGGTGTTAAGTAACTGTCGCTAGTCTCTACCAGAAGCTGAGAATCATGAGGTGTTAAGTAACTGACGCTAGGTTCTACCAGAAGCTGAGAATCATAACTTATTAAGTAACTGACGCTTGTCGTTACAAACTTTTTCAACAACGCATCTTCATGCCTCATACCTCAAAAATATCAAAGACTTATTATCAATGTTAAACAATCTCGAAATATTTAAATAATTAAAATTGAAAAATCAGCATAAAAGTAAATGCCCCCCTCCCCCTCACCCCAATCTAACAGCAAAAGCCTATCTGTTTTACTCTTCCTTTACAGCAAACACTTTCCACTCTCCATCTCCCTCCACTTAAATAGTTTCTTAAGTCAACCAAAATTCTTCTTTTTCTTCATCTTACATGTTTGTGTTTCATAAAAAAAAGTAAGCACAAGAGCAACAGCAAAAATTTTCTTGTCGAGAGGATAAATCATTTTCAAGTTCCTTCCGATGTGAAGCCGCTTTTTTCACTTCCTCCTTCTTTTTTTTTTGCGTCGCGCGATACTCTTGTCGTCTACAGTGATTCAGTTGTGGGGAATGGTTTAACTTATACTTTTTTTGTGCTGACACCAAGCAAATATTTAATTACATCGGCAAAATGTTTTGTGTCTACATCCACATTACACATTAAATATTAGTAAGGTAAGTAAGTGAGTGAGTAAGGCACTGATATGTTATTTATGACTCTGATAATTACCCAACCATGGAAATCAAACCTTCCGTACACTCACTTGATGACACAAGAATTTAGAAAAGGGGGATGGCTAAAAATAGATATAAAGCGAAGCATTTTCGGCTACTAAAAGATAATCTTTCTTTCCTGTTTGAGGCGAATGTACCGGTGTTGATGATTTACAGTTTCAGGTAGTTCCCAAAAAAATAATAATAATAATCATGACATGATTACAGTTGTACTGGGAAAAAAGAATATGAGAATAATAGCATGTTGATGGGGACATTACATTATGTACCTTCCTATGCTTATTCCCATATCTATGAAATACACTGGCATCGATGGCGCTAATGTGCGGAGAGATGAGGTTTGTATTTTTTTTGTGTATATAAATTTGGTTGTTTGTCTGGCTGGTTGATTTTTGAAGAATTTTAAGGTTATTTTAAATTCATTGCATGACGAATTGCACCTGGATTGGATGTGTTGATAAGGACGCTAGAGTCCTGAATATCCCGAACGGGCAGAAGGTCTCGAAGGATAGAGCTGTCTTTAGACGATCTCTGAGATCGAAATGAGTCATCTTATTGAAAAATTGTCATTCATTTTCAAGTGGCTCGGTAGCCTATTGGTTACAGCATCAGACCAATAATCAACAGGTAACAGGTTCGAATCTTAGTCAGAAAACTATTTTCTCATTTTATGATTTTTAAAGGTTTGCCTTCCATTACAGTGCCCAGTATCTATCCATGCTAATCACACAACACCTTTAGTACAGCATAAAAAGTAATACAAAAACCTCAATCAAGATATGAGAAGGAAGCTCACATAATGCGACTATGTGTTTATATAGAAAAAATAAAGAATGAAATTTTCAGCATTCAAAATGATAATTTATGACGTGTCGGTAAAATAGAAAAGAGAAAGGCATAGAAGAATAAGAAAAAGTAAAATAAGATTTACTGTCGTTGTGCGTACAATATAAAATAAAAAATAAAAGTAGAGAAATATATAATACAAATGATACTGTTTAAAGTCGTTCGTTACTCTTGTTGATATGAAATAAATAAAGGCACATGGTGGAGGGTGAGAGAGGGATGGAAAAAGTTAGGAAAATGTGCGGTGAAAAAAAAATTCCAACATGTGTTGCATAAAATTAATGATATTCCATATTTTTGGTTAACTTTATAACATTTTTTCCCATTTTATATACACACAAATATCTATCTCTCTATCTGCTCGATACACATGGTGGGTGTACGCGAAAAAAAAAGTTTATCATTGTAATGCTGTATAGAGTTGAATATAATAATAATGATTACACAATAACAATTTTCGAGATTCGAGGTATGAGGGAATAAAAAAGTGAATTTATTGATTTTTCGTTGAAAAGTAAAAGACTATTTATGAAAATTTGGCAGAGATGGTGTGGATGTGGTGCATTTTATATCAATAAATCTCTAAAATCGAATAAAAAAATTAGTTTGGTAATGACTTGAAACTTTTGAAAATTTAACGGTTTTTTGAAATTTAAGTTTTCATCAAACAAAAAAAATTATAAATTCAAATTTTTTCTAACCGTTATAATTGAGCAATTAACTTTAAGATCATTTTTAAATCTAAACCTTCATTATCCCTTACAAACCAAGAAGCCATCCAGCCAAAAAATCATCAATACATCCACCAAGTCAATCCAAGCACATCAATTCCCATTCATCTTCCAAATACTGCTCTCTAAAAATTGTTAAACGAAAATTTATGTTCGCAGTCGCATAATTTAAAATCACATGCACACATAAAATGGAAATATGTTGTTTTTGACTGTTACTGTTTGCTATTTACTACTCTCATCCTATGCCATTATATCAAATAAATAGAAATCACATATCATTTTTCATTCCTCAATCCCGAACATTTCGATAAATTTCCCTCAAAGGATGAGGATGAGGAGGATGAAAAGTTCATGAAGAAACGAGAAAAATTAAAAATTTAAAGAGTTAAAAAAAATAAAGTCGAGTTCTTTGAATAATTTAGAAATGAGGGATGCATGTGAGCATGTCGAAAGGTTGCAGGCAAAATTGTCTGTTAAATGAAATAAAAAAATTCCAGACTTTATTTAATGAATTATAAATTTTTGACTCCTCAAGTGACAATTTAAAGTCACAATGAAAATTTATAGAGTTATAAAAGATTTTTTTTTGGATGAATAAAATGAAAATTAATGATTTTTGTGTTGGATTTATCATTATTTTGTATTTTTAATAAGATCAATATTGATTTTGGAGGGAAGTTCTATTAAATTGTTCTAAATGACTGTTGCATGACACTGTTGCATGGATGTTGCATAGATGTCACACGACACAGTCACATTGTTATCAAGCAACACAATCACAAGGATGTCACATGACACGGTCACACTGTTATCATGCCACACTGTCACTTGGTTTTCAAGTAAGATATTGTCATACTAATATCAAATGGTTATGTCCTATCATTGTCGTATAGCTGTCAAATGATCAAATGACACTGACTTGTCATTGTCACATGGCTTTCACATAACTATCGAATGATGCTTCAACACAACTGTCACATGGTTATGCCACATCACTGTCATACGAATGTCACACAGCTTATGACACAGTCAGATCACTCAAAGACTTATCAATAAATTAATCACACATCAAAATATATAATTACAAAATGTGTCTGCGGTTCTGAAAGATATTTCCCCATTTCATTTTGGTTGACAATTTTCAATTAATCAAATACGCAGAATTAATTTAGCATTTAAACCGCTCCGAAAATTCAATCACAAATTGTGAAATTAAATTAAAGCTAAAAAAAGATTTAAGGCAATCCTTCAATTTAAATTCAGCAAAAAAAAGAGGATTAATATATTTTTTTATCGAGTCCAAATCTCAATAATCTATCTCATCATACACAATTATTGTGCCTCAATCCCTCTTTGTTATGCAACTATTATCGCTTTATACGCTTCATCTGCATAATGCACAAATTAATGAGATAATGAATATGAAATATTGCATATTTACTCACCTCACATCCTGTTAATGTGACATTTTTAAGGTTTAATTTATACACTCTATCCCTGTTGTTGTAGTTGTTGTTCATACAAAAAAGAAATCATGAAAAGAGAGGAAAAAAAATTATTTATTAGTAAATTTCATTCATTAATTTTGTAGCTCCTATAATTAACTGAATTTTGATGATTTATTGATTTCAAGAATTAAATTTTTTTGTATTAACGCCTTCAACAGCAATTATTCATTTATTCAGCTTTAAAAACGCACATTTTATTTGAATAAATGTTTTCAAAATGCCAAAAATTTAAATGTCAGAAATCTGTAAGGAATGAATTGGAAGCAAGCTAATAATTAAATTACGGGGTTAAAGGACGGAGAATTTTTGCTGTCAGTTCTGAGAAATATTTTTGATATTTGAAGGGTGGCTAGGTTGGGTTAAGTTGGTTAGAGATTAAGGATTTTAAAAAACTGTGAAGTTTTTTGAATAAGTTTGTCGTTTCTATTGAAAACCTAAGAGGTCTAGGAGTGGCAAAAATAGGTTTTGAGGATTAAAATGCAACCCCTTCTCCCCACCGTAAAAGGGTTTTTAAATAGTTTAATTACTTTCTTGAAAATATCTCGCTAAATTCCTGATCCAAAAGACATAGACCAACTACCGACTTAATCAAATCCTGACACAAAATAAATCAAGGCGTGGAAACTCAGGATTAATCCTAAAAAATCCCAAAAATCATTAAAAAATTCCTGAGCCAATAAACATGAACATGTGAAATCCCTGAGGGGTCGTTCACTTATGACGTCCGAAATTAACGGTCATTTTTCAAAAAAGAACAATGGATTTCCAGGAATTTCTATTGTTCTTTTCTTGCTGACCCCCCCCCCCCCCCCCCTGGACGTCCTAAGTGAACGGCCCCTGATGCATTTGATGAATAATTTCGTGATTTACAAGGGATTTCACATTTTCATGTTTATCGGCTCAGGGATTTTTAAGGATTTTTGTGATTTTTCAGAATTAATCCTGAGTTTCCGCGCCTTGAAAAAAATTATATTATTACTTATATTAAATATTCTGTCAAAACTTAAAAAATTATAAATTATTATTTCTTAGATTTCCTTTGAAGTCATAAAGATTCTTAGGTTCAAATCCTATCAGAAAAACTTCTTTCTTCTAAGTGTTTTTTATTTTTTTTAAACAATTTTCTTTTTTTCAATGCTTTACAAAAAATGTAACTTTCAATAATTTACCCAATTTGCCAAAAATTCACCAAATAGTCACCCAATCTAGCAATATCTTATGTAAACTTTCTCACAATATCTATTTAATCAGATTGAATACATAAAATCTTGGTATTTTCTTCTGATAAATTTCAATTCTCAAATTCCAATTCAGTTTAATTTAAGAATTCTAAATATTTAATAGCAAATATCTTCAATGCAAACAATATCTGTACACACAATAATGCAAAATCTACGTAGAGCCATAAATTTAATGAAAAATAATCAAGTATATTGTTGTTGTTGTGAGCCTCATACAATGTATATGTGCATTATAGAATGCAAAATGCAATTAATTTACTTAATTGACATGATAAATGCATACAGTTATGAGAGTTTTTCCAGAGGCAATTTATAAATTTTACATGAACCTCGTGAAAATTTGTTAATTTTTGGATAGTTTTGTGGATCGTTGGGATGTTTACTTTTGGAGGTTGGGGGGAAACTGATGTTGTGTGTGGATGAATAAGCTTTAAGTTTGGAATTTACTGAATATTTCTTACTATTTTAAAGAATCCTTTACTAATGACATATCGAAAATCATCTTAAATCTCATTTTTCTTGCAACAATTCTAACACCCCCCCCACCCTTCCGTACGTTCGTCTCTCTAGGGATACAAACTTACAAATTAGCCACAATGCTCTCAAAGTCTGAATATTCATGAATTGTAAATCATCAATTTTTTAAAGGTTCGATTCCTATGAAATCATTTAAAAATTCTTTTTTATTGCAAACTGTTACTTTTTAGCAAAAAATCCCCCAAATTTCATCAAACTACTCCCATCCTCTGAAAAAATAAAATCAAAATGTCAAAATAAAAATTTCATAACATTTATCGCCGCATAATTAAGCATGCACATCATGCATAGTGTTGAAAAAAAGTTGACTATTCACTCAATTAAATAAATGATAATTTTAATGATAAATTTTTAAATAGAATGTTAGTTGAACCCGAAACACACGAAAAAAATGAGAGTCGACACGAAACAATATGAAAAATTATAAGCATTTAGCAATTATTTATACTGTGAAAATGATTTCAATCGCGATAGTATAGAAAAAAATAACTTTTTAATGCTTTATCGCTATTTTGCAAAAAATGTTATAAAAGGGAAAAAAAGATTTATTATGTGCATGTGAATAAATTAAAATATATTAGCTATTAATATAATGTTGTAAAAAATTATCGTACATGCTCATATCCTATCGCATACACATTTTTTTTTGAAAATAAAATAAAATTGCTCTCTTACTGGAGAGATACACACATATACGATATCCATGTTTATTCATGTGCAAACCAGATTGGGGATGGATGATAAGGGACCCCATTATACCTATATGTTTGCATGAATCCTGTTCTGGAAATTTTTTGAAGTGGTATTTCGAATGGAAAAGTGTGATTAAGTTGAGCGTTTTGACTGTCGTCATCAATATACAGCCTTAAAACTGAACGCCCCTAAAATTTTTTAAATCTGAGCGTCAGTCTTTGAACTTAAAGCTGAGTGTCAGTCCATGAACTTAAAGCTGTGCGTCAGTCAATAATCTTAAAGCTGAGCGTCAGACAATGATCTTAAAGCTAAGCGTCAGAGCCTGAACATGAATCTGAGCGTCAGTATCTTAACATAAATCTGACCGTCAGTAACTGAACTTGAAGCTAAGCGTCAGGACCCGATGAACATAAAGCTTGAAGCTGGGCCTCGGTTATTAAACTTAAAGCTGATTGGCAGTGATTGAGCTCAAAGCCGAGCGTCATTGATTGAGCTTAAAGCTGAGCGTGAGTCTCTGAACATGAAGCTGGACGTCAGTATCTAAACTTGAAGCTGAGCGTTAATACTTGAACTTTAAGCTGAGTACCCGAACTTGAAGCTGAGCATCAGCACCTGAACTTGTAGCTGAGTGTCAGTGTTTGAACTTATAGAACATAAAAGCTGAGCATCAATATAGAATACTGAAGCTGAGGATAAATATAGAATATTAAAGCTGAGCCCCAATGCTCGGAAAATGCTCTCTATCCCCCTTCAAACTTCATTATCACTTGATAAACTTTTATTCCTAACTCTTTCTCCTGTTCATTCTATTGTAGCTCACTTTTATATGTAAAGCTATTTTCATCCTATGACCCAGATATTTAATGCTGTATAGTGGTTTTAAATTACATGTGTGCTCAAACATGGATGTATGGTGAGATACAGAAATTTATCATAACATTGACTTTCACAGAAAGTAGCGTTTATTGTTCCTACTTCCACACACTTTCATTCCAATAATGCATAAGAATATTATTTTCATGCACAGATGCTTGTTAGATTCAGTCAAACGATCCATGCAACACAACTGTGCCTTCTTCCTTTTTTTACTGCTGCTACTGCTTAATCCAAAGTTTCTCATTTTTTCGCACTCATTCTCGATTCACCCTCCAACTTTGCATGCATTATAAATTATTATTTCAAGCGGAAAAATTGTTAGCTGTGCTACGAATTAGATAGCGCATTATGCATGACGATGTAGATGCTAATATGCCACAAATTACATGTATGAGTACGGATACGAACTTTTTTTTATGTATTAGATCCTTTAAATGACTGGTTGAATGAGCAATTTACTTTATGACATAAGATATTATTATTTTGCAGCATTAAATTCATTTTCAGCAATTTATAATATAAACTCACGATCATTGGAAGTGGTTGTAAAATGTCTGAAACTTATTATTGCTTGAACAAGGATGAATGGATGTTTTAATGACCTTTAAGCAAGCTATTTTTGTAGACTGTAGACTACAATGTAAGAGGAATCGGAAATTAATTTTTGAGATGCTATAAAAGTGTAATGAAAGTTTTTTGAAAGGAATTTTGGCTGGAGGAGGAATTGATTTTTATTGCAGGAGTGCTCAACCGATTTTTGGAATTGGATTTGGTTTAAACAGATCGAATCTTAGTTGATTTCAGAGATTAATTCAACAAAAACTTCCTAATCGCAGGATTAGGATTCGAACTTAAGATAGCTTTGGCATTCATGCATTTCTAAGAACAAGTTGTACTAGAAACCCCCTCAATCGAGCCATGTGCTCACAACCACATCTCAGCATCTTGTTCAATATTAACGTGAGGCATAGCCAGGATATGAATTTGGAATTAACCCAAATCCTCCTCAAAAGGAAACATTATTTTTGAGAATCTCGACATCTCTCTCCCCCATCTTTCTAAATGGGCTACAATTCAGCTCAATTAATTAATCCCAATTATAACCCACAGATCACTTCCTCTATCAACATTAAGATTTAAAAATCTCAAACAAAAGTTCCAGCCATCAGCCCCCGCAGTTCATCCACCACTGAATCAAATGACGAAAAAAAAATTTAATTTTCATGTCTGATCTTGTTTGTGTCTACCTTTAATATTGTCTATAGCACCTGCTTGATTTCTAATCGTGCCATTTACTCTCACAAAGTAAGGAAAATATCAGAGCGAGAAAAATGTCTGCGACAATAAAATAATATAAAGTGAAAAATTTCGAAATATTTGCAAGAAAAAAAATTTATTTTTTTATTATTCGGCATGTCTAACAGCAGCCACGTTAACATCCATCCTCTTAAAACTTTTCACTCGTGTCGAAGAATGAAAAAGTTTTTTTGTGCTAAAACTGAACATTACCGAAAATAAAAAAAAAATATTAAAGTAAAAATAAAAATGATTTTAGGTACACAGAATTTCCATAAATGAAACATAAAATATACATTTACAGTAATTATTTCGAACGACTCCCTTTTTTGCCATATTCCATCATCAAAAATATACTTTTTTTTCCGAAATATCTTCAATGACAAAGTTTTTTAGTATCTTGTGGAAATATAATATAATATATAATAATAAGATCTTCTGAAAATTTTAATTAATATTCTTATACATTCAAATGATAATGTAGATTGTGTAGGTGGAGGTAGAGTTCTCTCTGCGTTGCAAAAAGGGATCATAATTGAGGAAAAGTTTGAAGGTGGTTGATGACTGGTGGTGGGATGTAATGTGAATAGCATTTTGTTTTGTTATATTTGAATGACTTTGTTATTGAGGATGTAGGTGGCGAAATGAGAGACAGAATGTCTGACTTAATCCTTTGCTGATGATCATTATGATTATTTGAGATTTTGTTGCTAAAGGGAGTTGAAATTGCCGTCTTCTGTTAGCTTACATAGCAACACTTTATAGTTTAGTGGTGGAATCATGAGAACTGAGGATTGAAGAACATAAGTTCAAATCCCATTTCTAATCAATTATTCCGAAACAGTAATTTTATGCAACCGAGTCTAGCAAGTAAAGTCAAAAGTTTTAGAAGTAATTGATAAAGCTAGACTTGTCCAAACTTTGAAGTAGGTCAGAGTTTAGCATCTAAGGGCTCCTTAATTACGGTTATATTAACATCATGGAGCTGTCATCAAGTGATTACACCACATTTTGCTCTGATAATTAAGAAACTTTAGATTAGAGAAGATCTATGAACGACAATTGACCTGTTAGACCAGCAGGCGCGTAGCCAGGGTTGGGGATTTGGGGGACAAATCCCCCTTCGTCTTGAGAAATTTCTTCAGTTTGCTAGAGCTTTTATGAAAAACTTGAAATAATCTCCCGCCCCTCCTAAAAGTTTTCCATACAAAAAAAAAATGTGTCCCCCCTCTTCAAATTCCTGGCTACGCCTCTGTAGACCAGCAAAGGAAATGAGTAAAGCTAAGCTTTTCTGACAGTAAGTTTGCATCCAATAAACTAATAAAATCTTAAAACTGCAAAACAACCCAACCAACTCATCCAGTTCAACAAAAATCAGTGGTCACCCCTCATAAATTGTCAAATTGCATTATAAGTCCCTTAAATGATCTACCCAAGAACAACAACAATAGAAATCCCCTTAATGTCAATGCAAAAGATGACAATGAAGACGACTCTATTAGAAATAAGAATCCCAACTTCTTTAAAAATCAATTATTTTAAATGCGCTATCGAGTTTCACCCTTGTTAAAATTTTCCAACTATTCTCCGGCATATTCATCCTCTATCCCCTAACTTAACATCAAATATATCTATCCATATTCATCTATTGAGAGCTATTTTGTTTTGTATGATGATTATCGTCATCATTTATTTCTTGTTTGGGAGAAAAAAATTGTTCTTATTCTGTCTTAATTGAATTTCCCTCGAGACATGAAAGGAGAAATTTTTAAAAAAATTTTTGTGCCTCCTCGCTTGTGTGACAAATGAAATGAAGATTTTTTAAAAATAAAGGGGTAGGGATTTTGGAACCTCCGTCGTCGAGGATTATAAATCCCTCTCATATCTTTGATGTCTGTCGTAAAGCTAATCACATTTGCATTTATCATCATTATTAAGTACAATAAATATTTTAATATGATGCGATTCCATTCATTTAAATACATAAAATTTGCTTAAATTTTAATAAACCTCTTCATCCACTAATACCGACTGTAATGCTAGACAGTAATACAGTGAAATGATTAATATTGGATAACGATGGAATTAATTTCGAATGCAAATGTAAGCATAAAAGTAATAACATTTTACATCACTTTGCATAATAAAAAACAATTTCATTTTAGGATAAAACTTAAGTAAAAAAAAAATTAAAAGCTCTTTTTTTCAGTATTTATGGCTGTAAACATTTGCAATATAGTGTTTTCAATTAAATTTATAATGGTTTCACTTACATAGCACCAACATAAAGCGCATCTCTGTCTTCATCTAAATGGAATGTTCTATAAAACAACTTTCCACATGTGAATTCTCGTACATGATCTGGAAGTAAAAAAGAAGATACACACAATGAGAATGAATGCATAAAAATATTTATAAGTGTTTATGTTAGATTAATTTTGTCAGATTTTTCAGTAGGATCAGTTGGAATTCTTTAGATTTTGATAAAGGGCAGTGCCGGTTGACAGGGAAGTGACAGGCGAGTACCTGTGACAGATCGCAACTCTGGATAAAGTATTGATCAAGGATCAATGATATTTAGCTGTGTGGTTTCAGAATCTCGACTACTAATGTTAATAAATAGTTTCTGACGATATTCTGCAAACTTAGCTTGAAAAATCTAGTTCGAAAGGAAGTTATAGATTGATTTCTTGCAATAATTCAAATCTTTATGATAAGATATCGGTTTAGATTTAATTTCATGTAGATAATGCCCAGACTAGGATTACATACATAGCTAGAGAGTGATTCCTATCTCTAGCAACACAATCTTTGATATGGAATCTCTTTCGATGTCAAAAGTTGTTTTGCGGTGCATTTTAATTCCGTTTAAAGTTTTCGCTGTGTTTTGAATTGAATATCAATGTTCTCCATCTAGTAAGGAATGGTTTATATCAGTGTTGTCCAAACTTTCTGAGCCACGGAACACCTTAGGGTTAAGCCATGACCTAATTCACACAAAGCATGAAATTTGTGCCATTTCCAAAAATTTTCTATACCGCACACAGTTTGGACAACACTGGTTTACATCTTAATTCATGTAATAGAATTTATAAAGTATCAACCCTCCCACAACCTCCGAATCACTCCGTTAAATACTAAAGAATGAAACAAAAACTTCCCCACAAGATAAAAATCCTAACAAAATCTCCCTAACATTCCATGTATAGCGACACGTAAGTACGAAAGAGAGGAACAAACATGAAAGATTAATAAAGTGTTTCATGTTTTTTAACAGCGAAAAAAGAAATTCTTTTTTTGAAAATTTCTCATAAAAACAGCACTTAAGTGCATGCAGTTAAAATTACTCTCTCTACTTAGAAAGAAAGGAGCATTGCTGATGCTGAATAGAGGGGAGGTTTATATGTCATTTTCCTTGAAGCTTAAATAGGTACTTTTGCATACACTTGTCATGCATAAACTTTATTGTTTTTCTTTCTTTTTTTTTACAGCACATACAAAAAAAAGAAATTTTCTTCTTCTTAACTGTTTGATACTCTTATGTGCTTATATTCTTTTCATCAGTCGTGAATACGTGAAAGTTAAAAATAAAGACGGAGCAACTTCGTGCGATAAGAGCAATTTCAAAACTTTTACTTAACAACAAATGCAAAGAGTTGTAAAATCATCAAAAAGAAAGTATGAACAATGCGAATGATGCGAGAACTTCTCACATAAAATTTCCTTTCCTTTCTATATATGTTTAAGACGTAAATAAATCCTGCAAATATTTACGAAACTAAATCATTTTGTGTTGAGGGATTGAATGGAATTGGAAAGAGAGAAAAACGTACAGCAACAGTAAAATAATGGCATAACAATAATAAAAAAAAAATGAATTGTTGTCGACTATTAACAGTATCGTGCATGTGCTTTGTGCCATCCAATCAGCCAAACGTGTATAAAGCAATAACAACAAATAAATTGAATTGAAAAGAGTTGCGATGGGTTTGGAAGTATTCAAACCGCTTTGATTTAAGATTGATAATCAATTTCAATTCAAAGGTTCAAGTATTAACTAAAGTCGTCGCTTTAGGATTCAATTCTCAACTAAAGTCGTCAATTTTAGATTCAATTCTTAACTAAAGGCGTTGCTTTAAGGTTCAATTATTAACCAAAGTCGTCGCTTTAAAATTCAATTCTTGACTAAAGTCGTCGCTTTAAGATTCAATTCTTAACCAAAGTCGTCGCTTTAAGATTCAATTCTTGACTAAAGTCGTTGCTTTAAGATTAAATTCTCAACAAAAGTCGTCGCCTTAAGATTCAATTCTCAACAAAAGTCGTCGCTTAAGAAACAATTCTCAGTCGATTTAACGTTCAATTTTAAATGAAAATCATCGCTTCAAAATTCAAAGCCTTGCCTCAACAAAAAATCAACAAGCGACAACAAAAAACGGTGCGAATACAAACAAAACGAATGTGTATTAAAGGAAAATCAAAAAAGGGAAGCACAAAGATCACAAGCAATTCTATTTGTCTTAATATTTCCAAGCGTTCGAAGTTCAAGCAAATAAATAAATATTTGATTAAATGAAATCGATCCTTCTGCCCTTCTTTTTCCTTCACCCCAACTCTATCCCTTTCCACAACTCGTGCCAAAACTATGAGCACAAACAGAAAACTCTCGTCTATCCCAAAAAGTTTAACCAGCAAAAAAGTGATTCTCATTTCTTTGGCTTTCACTCATCCATATGTATACGTAAATATGTATGTATATATGTTTTTCCAATATGCTTCATTTATTTTATGGTTAAGGCTCTTTCGTTTTTTTTTTTGCCTGGAAATTTCTACCCATCGTATAATATATATTAAGGAAGAAATGAAGGCATCGAGTGAAAGTAAATCCTGTTATTGGTAAATATTAACATTTAGCAACAAAATTCTCGCCACTATTGAATCAATAAAAAGAAAGAAGAGAAAACGGAGAAAGTCGGGCAAATAAAGCGTTGTAAAGTAGATTTAATTGGTTGAGTGGTTTGCAGAGATTTTTCTTGGTAATTTTGATGGAAATGTTCAGCTGGTTTGATGGGTGTTTTTACGAGTAAATTGAGATATTTTTAGAGATAAGTATGTTTTTGGCGAATTTAAAGATAGAATTGAGGGTGATTTTGAAGCTGGGTAGAGATTTTATTTAAGGTATGGACATGGCTTTAAAATTAATTAAGTTTTGAGATTTTTAAAGTTTGGATCTTTGATTTTTGATTTAAATTTGAATAAAAGTGATCAAAACTGTGTGAATTTGAGCAAAAATGAGCAAAACTGAGCAAAAATAAACAAAACTGGTCAAAATTAAATCGAAACTGATCAAAACTATAGAAAACTGAGCAAAACTAAGCACAAATGATCAACATCAAGAAATTGAGTCAAAATTGAGCAAAATTGAGCAAAACTCATAAAAACTGATCAAAATTAATCTAACTGAGCGAAGTTGAGTCAAAATTGAGCAAGACTGATCTAAACTTAGTAAAACTGAGCAACATTGAGTCTAAACTGAGCAAAATTAAGTCAAAACTGAGCTAAACTGAGCAAAATTGAGTCAACATTGAGCAAAGTGAATCAAAATTAAGCAAAACTGAGCAAAATTGAACAAAGTTTTGTTCAAACGTTCAATTTTGTTTGTTTGAAAACAAAATCATAAAATTTTAATTCCCATTTTTATAAGAACATCCACACTCATACCAAAACACTTCCTCAGCATTTCAGAATTAATGAAAAAAAAAATGTCCATACAAAAAAGATTCAAACCTAAATGCATTTAACAACCCATTTTCTCCTTCAATACCTTCCATGAATTGAATCCTAAATTGAAACTAAATTAATTCTTCCAAAGAAAAGAACTTCAAGATTGAGTAAATTTCTATTGATTTCCTCATATCTTTTCTAATCATATGATGCATGAAATTGAGAAACATTTTGTGCACTTTTTTTTATGATCAATAAAGTGTTTTACCTCACAACCCCTCCACAACATTGAATATGATTTGGCTTTATCATCCGGCACACAATAAACAATTTTCGTTGTTCGTAAAGAAATGAAAATTCGAATCATTTTCCAACCCTCAATATATACACAACAATCTTCTCTCATGCCGTATCTTTCGTGCATACAACATACCTGAAAATCAATAAATTAATATCTTTATTTCTATCACTTTTCTGCTATATAAATTTTCCTACTTTTTTCTTTAGTCTATAAGTGTGTTCTATGGTGTGAATAAAGTATTATATATATTTTCAGTTCGTATATCACACTCATTTTTTTCCTCTCTATTTACTATCCTGCCAACCTTCTCCATGTCTCCTTTGTTTCCATACGCCTCACACTTACTACTTTTCCATTACATTACGTGCCTCGAACATATCAATTTCTATCTCTTACCATACACCAAAAAACACTCCTTTTTCTTATTATTATTATTATTTTTACTTTTTTTGACTTTCACTGGATATAGCAATTCTTAAAAAAAATCTATTTATTCACCAAAAAATATATATGCAACAATGGTTTTTATGCCATGCTTTTTTTATATTCTTTATTCATATTAGGAAGTCAATGAGTGAAATCATAAAAGAATAATTTACGCTAGGTTTGAAATTTTAGAGGTGGCTAGAGCGCATTTTTCAAGGCAAGAGTGTCAATATGGTTTTTTTCGGAGCTCGAAGTTGACTCAAGTCGAGCAGATTTTTTTCAATCGATTCGACTTGACTAAAGTCGACTTAAAAGTCCATCGACTTCGAACTCTGGGTTTTTTTCGAGGTTTTAAAAATAAAAATGTTAAATTGTAATGAGCAACAGTGAGGAAAACCTCTGTGTCTTGTAATTGCACAAAAAAAATGAAGGAAATCCTGGTTTCTGGAGGGAACCAGAAAGAAGTTAAAAGACGCCCTGAACCACTCTCACAGCTGACTTAGGGGCTAATACAATGCTTTGATACAGCTGATTTGTAGAGCTACTCAGGTCACACTCCCTTGGCCTAAGAAAAATTTTATTTGTATTTAATATTGTCCATCACATTTCTGCCGTATTATCTAGGATTCCTGTCAGGCAGGCACGTAGCCAGAGCAGGTATTGGGGGAACAAATTTGCCTACAATCAAACAGAAATTTCTTAATTTTCTTAGAGGTTTTATTGAAAAATTCCCGTTCCTTCCAAAATTTTTTGAACCTACCAACCCCCTTCCCCCATCCCTTTAAATTCCTGTCTAAACCTCAAACCTATGCTGTCAGGTTAGCGTTAGTTTTTGATTTGTCAATTCTATCAATGACTGTCATAAATAAATGATTCAGGATCATTCTTGTAGATTTTAATGACAATATGTCAA